CCACCGTGACATTATCAAATTGCCCTTCTATTCGCGGTTCCTCCGATTAACCTCGATCCCGAACTCATGAACCCACAGACAGGCGCATCGACCCGTCCAAATAGGTGCCATCACACACAACCCCCCCCGGGGTCGTTAGTTCCACTGGGTCGAGATCTTACCAGTAGTCTGGTTCATGTGCGCGATTACGAGAAAAATTGGATACTTACGGCGAACCAATGGTCCTTTCCGCACAACTGCGAGCTGACCCACGTCTGTTTGTAGTATCTGGCCAGAAGGATGCCGATCGACGCTGTCCCGATCCAGGACGCCAACATCAGTGCACCGTGAACACGAATTAGGATGTTGCTGGCGGTAGTGAAACCACCGACGTCGGCTAATAATTTTGCGTCACCGGTAGCGCCGTACGCCGTGTCGTGGAATCCGACACCGTTATCTAAAAATTTCGACAAACGTTCCTTCGTCTTTTCCGATCGTCTCTCTTCTTCTGTGTACGAAGAATATAACACGTCGATCGGTATTATTATCGAGATAATGAAATTTGTTCAAATGACTGAAAGGATCGAGTCCGTTGTTTCGTAAAACTTGAGCAAAGTAAGATTTGTTGAAAGTCTGCCAGTGAATGTATAAGAGTAGCGTTGCAAAGTTGAACAAAGCGAAACGTACTTCTTAAACCTTTGCCAGCAGCCACGAGAAGATTGTACGGTGTATTGACGAGATCGAACTCACGGCCCTGAACGACAGTGGTTTTCTCTCTCCAAAATCTGCACGTGATTACACCATCGTTGATAGCACTCGACTCCAATTGGACTGCTCCTTCTTGCTGCAACGGAGATCACAAACGGATCAAGGCCACGAGGGATTTCTCGTAAACCGCAGATCGAAGCAATCATTCTCGAAGAAGAACTAATCGGTAACAATGTTACACACGAGCGAAAGTCGGCTTCGTTGAATCAAGATCGTATTAATTTCAGTCGCTCGTAACGTAGACCTCGATATTGGCCGCGGATCGAAGTTTCACTTTTTAGTTTCAACGCGAATCATCGAACGTCATTTACGTTTACAGTGTCGAATGATAATTAATGAAACTTCAGGGCGAAGTTTCAAGCCAAATTTTCAAGCCACGGCGCAGACGTGATTTCGCTGATTTCACCAACCAGTTACCGAATATTCGATTCATTATTACTACGATTGCGCGGCGAAATTTGACATCCAGTTCGCTTCAGCATGATAAATAATAGACTACGCACCATGGGCTGGCGTATGTTCTGCTTTCCAGAGTTCCAAGACATGTGCAACGCAATTTTTTCTTCTTCGTTCGCACACTCGACGACACTGTCATCGCCCTGCGGAAATTATCATTGAATAATCATTCAATCTGGAATTAACCGAGTTGAAGCTAATATTGTACATGTTTTTTAAACAACCATTATCGCGTGCAAATCTACTGTGAAGTAAATTACACGAGACGGTGCTGTTGCAATAAGTACATATTGAGAAGCAAACAAATTTAACGAATCTCATAGATTAATGAAAATTACCATTTTACTGTCGTCTGATAAGCCAACGGCGACATATTTACTATCGCGGGCTTGTAATTCAAACAGATATCGGTCACCTCGCACAAGCACACTGACTGCCGCGATACAATCTTTTGTTTCGACGCATCCTGAAGGGCTGCCGAAGCAATTCTTCGTCGAGCCACATCCGGTGTAGAAAGGGTCCTCAGCAGCCTTCGTCTAAAGAACAACACGTTCGAACACAGTAATGCCTTGTCATTAATGCTCTCGAGAAATCATACGGCCGGGAAACCGTTCACGCGATCTTGAGCTTTCGAGAAAGCAAGAACAAAATTTCCCGGCAACTCTTCTCAATTTCTCCGAAAGAAACAAAGGAATCTTTCGCGCGAGAAGAGAAATGAAGAAACTCGTCTTTTGCGTGATAGAGACAGTAGGTCTTCTCATGTACAATTTAATCGAACAATATAGAAGCATGGTGAAACACAAACGTGATCCGTGAGCCAATAGATGCTCCAAGCGCGTTTATCGTCTGGCATAAATCTGGCGGTCAAGTTTCAAGAGATTTTCGAAAGATTTATTTTATATCTCCAAAATGCGAAGATAGAGAAATCGTGCGCCGATACGCGTGTAGAGAGAAGCGGCTCTCGGCGTCACAGCCGGTTTTAATGGAGTAGTTTCAGTCCATCTACTCTAGAAACTCTCCTCGATAAAGTTTCCAAGCGTTGGAGAACCCGGCGTTCGGCTCGTTCGCGTGCCGCCTTTTCTCACGTCGAGAAAATCTCGTTTCGAAAGTGGACCGGTAACGAGGACGATACGCGAAGAAGAACTTCTCATTTGTCGCTGCGGACACGATGTCACGGTTGCAGCTTGCATCGAAGACCATCCACCTGAGCCGCTTCCTAACTATGACGATAATACGCGGCGTAATTAACGTTGAACGCGTCGAACATTGCACCTAAAGATGTCGATTCGATGGGTAATTACGACTCGAATGGCCACAAATGACATACGAGATGTCGAAATGGTCAAAGTCCCAACGGGGACACGCAAGTGTAACGACCGACCTTCAACTTAGACACAGTTCGCGAAACAGAATAATTACAAACTCGGGGTTATTACCAACCTCCCGAGTGTATCTATGCGTTTCCAACCTTTTTTCGTTTCTGTTAAGCACGAAAGGCCGCGAATTCGTTTGATCCTGTCGCAGAAGAAGCATCTCACACTGTATCACACACGGCGTAATTGGAGTGATTACTTTAATTGCTCGTTGAATAAAGATAAAGTGAACGCGTGTACGTACTAGCGACCGTGAGAGAGTACGGACTGCTTTTTCAGTTTCTATTCTTGCATGTTCGCGCAGACGATAAAAATCGTTTAATATCCTACTCCTCCTTAACACGTTCCGTGCCATGTGTACCACCGGTGGTACACGTTAAACTT